AGATGGCAGTTTTCCAAACTAAAGCATTTCTTATTATCAAATCCACTCAGTTTATCAAAATAACCTGTCCAACTGTATGCCAAACTACCAAGTTAAATTTCGTCATTAAATTCGTTTGCAGGACTTGCAGGATTGTATGTGTCACGTTAAACACTAGCCACGCGTTTCTGCAGGGGTTTCTGACATACAGACGCCTACGGTGACACAGCGCAATTTAAAAACATCGAGTTCTTGAAACCGTTTCAGACAGAGGGACTTGCCTGTGGAAGATAAGCCACTATGTACGTCACCACCACAGCTAGAAGCATCCTTGTGGGCTGTGTAATATGGTGACAGATGTCATATCCACGGCAGTATTTAGACAACAACGGTGGTAACATGCTATCCCTTTGGGTTGTACTCGTTGTTACCATGGACGACCGCATGGAGTCATGTTGTTTCACCCGCTGTCTACAGTGTCGTGTTGATTGGATCTTTCTTATCAGCAGCGCACTCATTGACGCCATGAGGAGAATTGGGACGGCCTTGACTAGGAGGGCGGAGTTGAAGAAGAGGATGGTCTGCAGGATAGGGTCATCAACATAATCCACTTCGTAGAACGCCTCACTGGCGTTGGCAGTGTCATTGTTGACTAATCCTCCTCCTGCTGCTTCCCTTCCGCCGCCGTTGTTGCTGCTGTTCATGTTTGCCCACTTTGACCAATACTGGTGATGAATAGTCACCCTGTGGGCTATGATTAAGGGAACAGTGAGAAGCACAGACATGAAAGCTACCATCACCATCACCAACCTAATCCGAGGTCGGCTGCAAACCCGGCGTGTTCGGGGACCCGCATGCACGTAGACAAGACGGTAGGCAGCCAGCACAACAATAGTCCATGTGGAGAAGGTATGAAACAAATTCTGGGCGACTATGCATATCAACAGGACATAGGCCAGGCGCTGAGGCATGCCATTCTCTAGCCGAGGTGAAATACGAAAGTTTATATCGTAGACAATGTAGATGGACATCACCAGGCTATCGGAGACCGCGAGCATGGAGAGCAGGAGATTGCTGGAGTTGCGCATATGACTTTGCATCAGGACAGCTACATTGAAGCTATTCATGCATATGCCCAGAACGCAAAGAATGAGGGATAGGTAGGCGTGACAACGATGGTACATCTGGCTGAATTCGGCAAGCCAAGGCAAGAGGTCCTCGGTGCAGTTCAGGGCCACCACAAGGGAGACAGCAGTCCCAACAGGACCGCTTTGTTTGCACATTCTACAGGAAAAAAAAACAGTCAATCCTTTGAAAAAAATAAGTAATCAGTACCTGTGTGCGTCTCTTATTTGAGCAGGAGCATTAGGGCTGTTTATTAGAGACAGAAAAAGACAGCTCGCATGTTCCGATGCAATGTGATTGGTGGATGCTCCCAAGCACAGTTAATTGGCCAGCGTAGTCCAGACTCAACCAAATCCTCGAATTAATCCCATTTTTGTTTGGGGCCTACAGTCAGTTTTCACAAGTCTCCATACTTTGAGTAAATTTAATTAGCATATTAAGAAGTGTTGCTGTTTTTAGAGGGGAGAGAGGGTGGCTGCCGTAAGACCGCCACATTTTCTGTTTCAACAAAGAGTGTTATCGCTTGGAAGAAAATTTGCCCCACCGAGGACTGAAAAAATATAGCACTAATGCCAGGCTGAAGTACGTTGCCAACACCATAAAATCTTTGCCGCATAAAATACTTTAAATGTAGGCGATTTTTAACTCTTATCGACGGTCGGTTAAATGTGTCTGCCATAAAAAAGGTTAACGCTGCCGTTTCAGCTCGTTCTCAGTTCAGCAAAATGGTACATGGCGAAGTCCAAACGTTTTTTTGTATAAAAACCTTACCGTGAACATAACTGATATTTAAATTAAGTAATCGGTTTGGTGAAGTGGCGGTTAACGGATAATTTTAAGGTTTTTTAGACGAACTCTCAAAAATGCGGTTTTAATATTGTAATGCACATCCTGAAACTCATGGAAACTAGTTTCCTTTTCTAACAAGTGAGTAATGTGTCCCTCGCGCAAAAGGAAAAGACGGGACTCCATCAACTATACAAAGATCATAGAAACTAAACGGAGAGAAGCAAAAAGATCGTCACTACTACAAAGGGTGCACGAAAGAAAACCCCAAGCAAGACTGCGTAAAGACCCAGGTCGGTACGTATAAAATCATTCCTCTTTGACGCTTGATAAGAG